CAGCTTCGGCGGCTTCCTATACGGCTCGACAATGTAGCAATGTGACGTGAAGCCACGTTCGGTTGCACCGATTATAGGCAACGGCCGAATGCCAGAAATACGATGGGTCACTGATGCCGGCTCGGATTATCGGGGTTCTTGTATTGCAAGACATTGTCCAAAGCATTGGGTAATGGCCAGACGTTGCATAATATTGCTGGAGGAGTGCAGCGAGGCTTGGGCCTGGACACGGATGCGCTCCATCTGCAATGAATTCCTGAGAGATGCATTCTCCCCGATATCAGGTACAAGGAAGAAGCATCATCCAACTCGGAGAAATTTGAAGGCGGCACGGTCTCTATCATGAAAACCCCCCCTCGTGCGTGGCCCCCCGCGATTCATTCATGGCAGATTGCTTGGCAATGATGCCGTTACGGCGCAGCAGCAGCCGGCCACTTGGACATGCAATGTGACACATGACAGTCATGTTCACTGATTCAGAAAGAGCCCTCCAATCTGCACGATTTGTAGAGAATCCAATAGTCTTTGCCTCCCACATTTCAGGATGCCAAGAAATCCAACGGTACTCGTGTACACATGGGCGCAGGTTGGCGAGGCACTCGGTGCTTGCAACGGTACGTCGGTGTCAAGCCATACAGCCGGCTTTTTTTAATTGAGTCTTGCCTCTCTCAGCCCTAGCTCAAAATATCTGACTTGATTCCTAAACCAGTTGCCCAGCCATCGGTTACTCAATTTTACTTTTGGTGGCAGCTAACTCCAAGTACGCCTCCGTGGCTAACTCGAGCAGCGACAAGCACGCCGCCAACGACGATAGTGAAGCGACCCTCCATGGCCGCGGCGGCGGGACAGCCACGGCGACGAGGTCAAGATATCGCCACCGGGCGCCGACGAGGGCAAGAAAGGACCTGGAGGACCTGGAGGCGGCGGAAAAAGCAGATGTCTCTTCCATTCAACAAGGAATGCAATCGCATTGTATAATGATCAAAAGGAATACACATGTATTGATAGCAGGATTGTGTACATCGTGACAATCTAATCTTTTGCTCAACTATCAAGTCGTCAAAGACTCCAAGAACTCTGGGCCCTACTGCACCCACGAAACATGAACTCATCACCAGACCATCTAGCATTCAACAGTCCCAAGCAGCTTTTTCGAATGGTCGAGCCCTTGTGCGGAGCTAGTCTCTCATTCAAGATGGACCAAATCATCAAGCTCCACTCTTGTCGTGATGTCGTGTTGGTTCGGTAAACAAAACGAGTCTTGACGAAGAGGTAGTGGATGCCAAGTCGGGGGCCAACTCTGTCTAATGAAATTCGAACTCCTTGATGTGTTGATTATATACCATCTCAGACAGTCTTCTAGTACATACGGCCATAGGCAGTAGAAAATATCGCGTCCCGTCTGCTCCGCGGAAATCAAGCTACTGACCGGCAGATTAGTAGTTGGGTCGGTGACGACCAGCGAACACCGGCTGCTGTATGTTTTTTATTTTTTTTTTATTCTCCCGCAAAGATTATTTCAACGGCTGATGAAGACCTGAGAACAAAAGTTTTCTAGGCCTCGGCAAGCCTACCGTTGCCGCGATAGCTGGGACATTGCCACCTCCTGATGCCGGAAAACAGCAAAAATTGCATTTTATACACTATAATATAGTAGCATGCCGGCATTAGTGCGACTGGGAATCCTGAGGCACGATAGTTGCACGCTGTGCCACATCAACATCAAGGCCAAGGCGGCTTTGGGCCCGCACGGTGTCACAAAAGCACAGTATATCACCCGAGTGCAAGGATTAGAGTGGCCTACTTCTATGGAGGATGGCGTTACGCTGGGAGTCACGGCATGGTCACTGCTGTCGTGCAGATTGCTAATGTTCAAGTAAATGCCGCCAGCCTGCCAGTGTCAGACAAACGGTGAGCACCCGAGAACCCGAATAAACAATAGGGTGGGGAGGTGGCCGACTGTATGTTATGTTTTGCGGTGCGATCTGACATGTTCCGTTCTGATGCTCCTTGCCCTGGCCTAGAACCATTCGCACGAGCAACCAGGATGCTTTGATGACGTGTACTCCCTCTGGAGGGCGTAGTCATGGTGTCGTCTCGCGATTGGAGTGTCTCACGTTTTTGTATGAGCTGTCATGTCGCGCAAGGATTCTCAAGAGGTGGAAGATGTGCCAATGGCAAACGCCCCGTGTAAAAATAGAGCTGGGGGCCATGCATGAGGCAGACAAAGCCCACGAAGGGTATCCCTGCCCGCAGAGCCGCTGCTGAACTGCAATGAGGATTTTGAAGAATACAGTCCGGGGGAATAATACCCAGGCGAAAGTGCCAGTGGAAACCTTTTATCAACGATGCTCCCAGTTTTGTATCGCAGCCATGTGGCCAACAGCAACCAAGACTAGCAATCTATGGAGAGTTGACGCCGAGGAATTCCGCTAGCCCCTGTGCATGTAAACAGATTGCAAAGTCGCTTTATCATAATCTCTACAGTGTCTATGCGACTGAAGCTGGCCCATGTTTCAGGGACATGCTATTCAAGGATGTGCCAGGAGGAGGGTCACACAATCCTAAAATGTGTTGGCCGACACGTCTCGCGCCAGTGCGACGCCTCAAAAGTATAAACTGGCACTACAAGAGAGCATAGAAGCTTCATTCGAGGCCCGTGAAGGAAACTCACGTAGACTGGTATCTATTTACCGCTTAGCGTACTCCGGGTTGTGCTTGCAGGCTGCCTCGATTGCGGCAGTGCTGCTCGTAGATACGCGTCAAGAATCCCATTATCATGCCTCAGAAACCAGCCTGCCTCAATATCTGGCTCCATCTTGAGACTCATTAACGAGTTTCCAGGTCATGGAGGGAATCCTCGATTCGTGGCATCCAAGGAGCCAGAGCTAGTCATGAGCTCCTGATTTAGCACTTGAATGGGAACCATCCTCATGACAGACACGTCCTTTCTATCAGTTTAGAGGGAGAAATCCTCCAGCTCCTGCGTCTCCCTACCAGCCATCAACATCAAGCATTAGCATCACTCATTCCGTACCGCGCGGCAAAGTAAAATTGTTTCGCCGGTATCGCATCAGATCGAGACGGCCAAAAGTCCAAGTCTTCATCAAAAACATGATCAGAACTCGAGGAGCTGAGTCGCCAGACGGCGTCACTACGGAATGTATGCGAATGTGGCATCTACCGTGACAGCCCTGTTGCTGCCCGGCCTCATCACTGCAACACCTCCCCATGCGTGCAAGCAGACCAGGTGCCGGTTACAGGCTCGACACTTGGATTCAACGCAGATACTTGATACATGGCAAGACAAAATTATGTTGTGAGCCGGTGCGACCGACCGACCGACCGATCCTTTTGAGCAGTTGATGGCTGAAGCTAGCAACCACAAGCTTGCGCTGAGTTCGAAGCACAAGACGGCTGCGATCTATAATATCGGTCTTTGAGGAATGACAAAAGAGCCGGTGAGAAAACCCCGCATCTTTAGCAGGCATATACTGCCTTTTTTTTTTTTTTGGTCGCATCCTGCCACAAGGCTTGAAAAGTCTCCCGAGATTCGTCTTGGCTCAGATACTAAACCGCCTCGCGCGGGGAAACGCATCAGTTTATAATTCTTCACGGGCCTGACGAGATTTACAAAGATCGATTATAAGATGCTGTTTTCGTATTTGATGGAGCAGAATCGACGACTATTGATACAGCGCCGAAGCCTTGGGAGAGCTTTTGGGTTCCCGCCCTCTGGCCGAACGAACATGGTGCTCAATGAAGAGCGGTATCGGCCGTGACAAGCAAAAACAAGCGGTGAGAAAAGGAAAAAGGCAAAATAAAAAGCAAAAAGGAAGTATTACAGAGCATCACGACTATAGACTGTGCGACAAAGCAGCTTCCCGTTGAGGTTGTTCAAATGGGAGCGATAGAGGCACGAGTGGCGAAAGAGCAAACGGCATCGTGTATAAATTAGATCGAGTTCGCTCAAATCCATCATCTTGTTATAGACTTTCCACAAGCTCAGATTTATCATTCTGTGAGATGGCTTCCATACTAGCAGCTGCCCGCGTTTACGCGACGCGATTGATCAATCGCTTACTGAGGAAGCAGTGGTCCTTTATCGTTGTTGGAGCTTCAGGGTCTGGAAAGACGGGTCTTATTGAGGTTTTGACGAAAGACGACCCAAACATGACAGTGAGTCATGGATATTGAAAGCTTTCTATTTTTGTTCATCTTTTTGCAGCGGTTCAATGACCATCGATTCCCAGTATTTTGCCACGACAGAGCCGCAATACCACGACATACCAGGCAAGAACTACTCGGTAACTGAGATACCGGGGAGTGCCCGTCTCAGTCTGGGTATCTCCTGCCTGCTACTCTCAAAATTCGACTTAATAATCTGCGTTTTCCACGAGACCAAACCAGAAACGGCCGACTACTATAGAACCCTGTGGAGGGGTAAACCGCCAGCGCCAGTCGTCTTTGTCGGCAACAACGTCCCCGGGGCCAGATATGATCCTCGACTGGAGCCCCATCGAATGTTTCTGGGGCATCAACAAGAAATAACGCTACAGGGAGGTATCGTATGCCCATATTTCCCTGTCTCGTACCAGAGCAAGAGGAGCTGCAAGGAGCTTCAAAGGTTTTTGTCTCTGGGCTCGTGGACAATGCATAAAGAGCTGAAGCACGTAGAGAAATAGTTTTCAGATTATAGAATGACCGTGCTAATTCCAACAAAAAAAAAACTGACTTTTTGGATAGGAAAAAGTAGCCAAAACGCTGCTGGCTTGGCTCAGCTGGAGGGGCCTGAGATCTGGTAACACTAACAACTGCAGCGCTGATGGTGGCAGACAGGATTAACATCTGCAGATGTACACAGGCTTAGTTCTAAGCATCATACTTTATCTATTAATATAATTTATAATCACATAATAGCTTTCGATTAGGCGTGAAAGGCAACGTAAAGCTTTGCTAGCCCTCTTGTAATGCAATTGTCTTGACGCTAGCGTCTCAATGCCAGGATGGCCGAGTGGTTAAGGCGGTGGTTTTAAGTTCTTTTATGCTTAGCTCACCACTATCGCGAGATTCCAGGGTTCGAACCCCTGTCCTGGCAACGTTGACTTTTTGCACGGAATGCTGATTTTATTTTTGCTCAGAATGATGAACTGACCTTGAGAAAATTACTTGTGGCTTATTTGATATTCCTATACTGCAATTTGCGCATATTCAGACACTGGAGCTGATAGCGAGCGACAAGCTAGTTTGCAACGTTTCAACTAGAATGTACGTCTTAAGTGAGGCACACAGATAATGCCGGTTGCAAAAAAAAAGAAAAGAAAAAGAAAACGATAGCCAAAGCTCAAACCATCATCTGACGGAGTAGCTGGTAGCAACAGTATTGCATATGTCGTGGCGCCGGCTACACGCAACAGTTGAGGCCGCTGCTGAGGCCTGGAGCAACTCTTGATATTGCTGCAGCCGCCACGTACGAGCCTCCAGCCACGCACTTGTTGATTTGATGGAGAATCTGAAAGTCGAGAATAACTGGAAGTAGTACACACCGAAAAGTGGCGCAATAACAGAGGCACGCTTGTCGCCCTCTTCTTGTCAGAGATACGGCTTGTACGACGGTGTTAGTCGCACGCCTGCCGTCGATGCCATCGACGCCACGTTTCAACTGCCGTCCGGTCTTTCCAGCCGTCAATCAAAGTCACATATCAAATGTTGCTGCCTAGCACTCTCTATCCAGCTGGCAGGGATGGGCTCCGTCAAGTGCCGTTGTCACGGCCCCTAACTTTGTCCCCCACACGCTTTGCAGCCTAGGCACATATTTTTCGTGGCTGACGGAAGTATTCATCTGACTCCAGGCTTGTACTTTTCTCACACCGAGGTTTTGCTCCTCTATTTTGTAAGCATAGCCGAGTTGCAGAAGTGACGTTAATGTATGCCAAGCAAGGGAACGAGTCTTGACTCCCCGGTGTGAAGCAGATGACTTGATAAGTGAGACAAAAACAGCTCCAGCCTTCCTAATTCAGGTTGAGGGTGCATTATTCAAAGCTCAGCTTTTGTTTAAACGCCGTCTTTGTTGCACTGCAGGATTCTTTGCCCTGCTACTGCGCTGCTGCCAAATATACATGGCGTGTTTGGCATTTTTAGCCCTCTCAGGCAAGCCATACCCCACGGTACGCTCCGATGCCCCCAGGGCAAGAGGTGTGTTATAAAAGAGAGCCTTCTTCAAAGAGCGCTGCTCGTATTTGTGTGTGACCTGCCAAGTCGAAAGTGGCTTTACTCGCCGTCTCCGCCTCTTCTCGGAAGGTGTGACAGCCAACGACTTGCAACCGTAGTCTACCTCCGGGAGCAAGTGTAACACATGCAGGCATTTCAGGCAGCGATGGACCCCATATGCTGTGGCTTGGAGCTGCTGGCTGAGTCGAGGCGAGGTCCATCTTTCTCTGCCGAGACAGGGAATATGCAATGCTACTGCAGAGAATAGACTCTCATGCATGGTGATAACAATATACTCTCTTTTTCTCTAAGATAGAGATTTGCTATTTCTCTATGTAGTAACTCACAGCCCGTCTGGGTATAAGAAGGAGGCTGCATGGCAGGAGACTTTCGCTTTCTGTTCCGTGGCCAGCATCAACAACAATATCAAAATCAACATTCCTCACTCTTTTCCAGCAGAGGGGTCAAGATATGTCTGCGGATCATGATTTAGATGCCAACGCCGGCCCAATCAGTGAGTTTACATGACTCGTCCTCCTGGACACGAAATAGTCACATGGAGAGCCCATTACTCAGAGAGTCCTGGTCAATGCTGTAATGGAACACCTAGCAACACGATTACTGACTAGAGGTTTTTAGAGCCTTGTCGATCCCCTACCAGTTCACAAGCGTCTACCGAGATGGACTGTAAGGATCAACCAGACGATCAACTACAACAAGGGAAACGTCGGAGAGAAGATCAAATACAGGGCGAAAGAAAGAGGAAGACCCCTTGTCCGGCTTCCAGATCGCCCAACCGGAAGCAAGAAGAGGGCTGCCACACAACTTCAGCCATCGACCTTACAGGTGAAGGCTTCAGTCAGATGAATGGAGCGGATAGTGATCTATCCATGTGTGCCGAACTGCTCGAATGCGAAAAGGAGATCGCTTGGTCGAGCAAGTCGCGCTTTGCAGCTGCCAAAAATTACAGCAATTTCAATGATCAGCTCAAGGCACTCCGGAGACTTAAGAATCGACGAGTCAGGAAACCCAATCAAGAAGTCTGGAAACTCAATCAAAAGGTCTGGACGTTGCATAGAAGGAACATACAGCTGGCTCAAGACAAGGAACAGCTGGCTCAAGACAAGAAACAGCTGGCTCAAGAGAACGAACAGCTGGAAAAATCTCATGGGTCAGTTTATGGAAAATATTTGGGCTTACAAGAGTCTCAAAGGACGTTTCAACTCCTGATGGAAAAAATCAAGCTCGACGAAAGCGGGAAGGATGAGGTAATACGACAGTGCGGGAAAGAGTTTGAAGAGTTGAAGAAGATGATTCAAGAGTGTATTGACTGCCAGCAGCGCTTTTTGGAATTTGGTAATAGCCAGCGACAGACAAATATGGAATTGGGAGAATTGATTCGGAAATTGACTCAGGTCTACGAGCTAACCAGACCCAACGACGGCTTTCTGCCAGTGATTCCTGGTCTGGACTTGAGCGCGTCATCGGCCTTTTACGCTACAAATCAACAACAAATGCCGGTACTGTCAAGCAGCCCCGATAATGTCAACTTCGGACCGAGCTACAACGGGCGGTTCGCCTACCCGGTCTCTTCTCCGCAGACGCCGATGTTGTCCCCGAGAAGTTCGGACCGGGGAGGAATTTCCTTGCAAGTGCCGTCCCTGCAAGGGTATCAGGATGCATCGTGGCCAGGCTCCTCGAATTATTGATTGGGCCGACAAGGCTGGAGGAGGATCGGTCCAACTTCAACGCCCCGGGAACCTTGGAGACGGAGGAAACGGAGATGAGAGGCAGTGTGGCGGGCAAAATGAATCTAGTTGAACCATTTTTTTTTTTCATCTGCTCGGGTTTTGCTTCCTCATGTCGAGACTTGTCCTCGAATTGCGATGCAAGTTTCTCGTTTCCGTGTCGAGGTTCAAGGGTTTGAGGGTCTTTTATCGCGAGCAAACCGATTGTCTGTATGATTGACACAAATTAAATAACCAAAAAAAGAATTCCTTTGTGAACCTTGTTTGCGTTCGAGACGCCAACTTTTCTTCTCGTGAATAATCCAACACAAGTCACAGACAAATATGGCCATGTCATCAACACAACCCAAATCTCCATCTGAGCTCGAAGCCGGCTGCTGCGCCGATAGACTGTACCCCCAACCTGCCAGTCTCGGCGCGTTGTGCAACCCCCAACGGATGACGGGCGGGTGCAAAGACTGCTGCCTCTTCGAGTATGTGTTCCTCTTTGGACGGCACTGCTCCCGTGCGACACCCAGAACGCCACGAAGATAACGCTCATACATTCCGAGACGCACACACACACACACACACACAAGATCATCAAGACGTTGCGTGCTCACCGCCCGCCCATGCACGCAGCTCATGGCTGGGTATCCGTGGGCGAAATCGCACATTCGACATGTCACTCACCCACACTTTTCAGAGCACGTTGTAGAGAAGACATATTCAGGCATTGCCCTCCGGTTTAACAAAAGACCAGTCAGTAGCTGCTCGCTTCGTCACGCCTCGACCGCCGGCCGCAGCATCGGCACCATCTTGCTCGTCCTCACCCCTTCTGGCTGCCTCACGTACCCGACGCGCTCATACAGTCCCACGACATCCTTATCCGAGTTGAGATAGAGCGGCAATCCCAGCTCATCCGCCATGTCGCTCGCCCACTTCAGGAGCGCCAGGCTATGGCCTCGCCCCCGCGCCGTCGAGTGCGTCATGACAATTTCCAAGTCTACACTGATCAGCCATTCTTTTTTTTTTTTTTTCTTTTTTTCAGAAATACAACAAACAACGGCCAATGGTCAAACTTACAGACATGAGGTGTATCTCCCAGGACGGCTCTGTGCTGCGCCGTCATCCCCCCGAAAAACTCATCCAGCTTCGTCGTGTTCATGCCCGGCAGCGGCGCGCCCCATATCGTATCCCAGTGGCTGTACAGCGCCGTGACGGCGTTCTCATCCCGTGCAACATGTAGCAAGCACGCACCTTTTGGCGTGCCTGTCAATTTTAACCCCCCCGAATATCTGTTAGCCCCAACAGACTCTCCCAACATTCCCAAGGGATGAGTATGCGCAAAAGACATACCGGACTCGTCGCGAATCACACCAACACGCGTTTGCAGGCCATGCTTAGACGTCTCACAAGGCCGGGCAAAGTTTTCCCAGGCCGCGACGACGTAGGGTTGGGGGAACATGTCGTCAAAATGGCCGTCGTCAAAGGCGTTTAGTTGCATAGCGCCGAGCGTGGGTGCGTCGGCCACTACGGCAGCTTGCACTTTGGACATGACGAATTTGCTCTCGTCGCTTGTATATATGCTGATTTGTTTATTCTCAGTCTTCCACGCCACGAGTTTTTGCTCTTAAGTTATTGTAAAGCCAAGTTATTGTGTGAATTGCAGAGACTGATAACGGAAGAGAGTCGGAACCAGATTCCGAAAATAAGAAAAAAAAGAGGGCAAGCACAAGTATGGAGCACGTCTAGATTGACCGAGTGGCAACAAAAGGAGAGACTTGTACTGGAGCAACAACTTCGCCGAGGGGGGACTGGCTGTTCCTAATAAATAGCACCATGACACCAAAACTGCCAAGCTTCGGGCTCCGAGAGCCCATGATAAATAAAAGCGGGCGTGCGCAAGACCGACAATGCCACGATGCACAGCCCGTATAGCCAGACGGGATCCTTTGCTGGTTGTTGGCGCTATTTCTAGGCTGGAGCTCATGATACGAAGGCCGTGGTCATTGGTGGAGTTTAGTCTACTTGACCTAATGCAATGACTAGTTATGGATCCGCTTCGGCATCTAAGGCCGTAGCAATCGCTTTCCCTTTTCACTCATGGCCACGATCAAAATATGCACTCATAGAGTCATCGTGTACAATGGTGGACATC